GATAGATAGATAGATAGATAGATAGATAGATAGATAGATAGATAGATGAAAATTGATAGGAGTTTGACAGGGTAGACCCTAATGAGAGATGATCTAGTGATAACTGTCCATGTGAAGGGTAATGCTGGTCTCAAGGGGTCTTTCAAGTGTGGATTAGATTGTTTAGGGAGCCTCAGGGTAGAAAGTGGGTCACTGGGAGCAGGCCTCTTGGCTTTAAAGCCTGGTACTTCTTGACATTTTGGACTGCGGATACAACATGACCAATCAGCCTCCTGCTCCTACCACAGTGCCTTTCCTGCCTGCTGCCATGTCTTCTTCACTGTGGTTAACCGTATCCTCTGGCACTGTGACCCAAAAATAAACCTTTTCTCCTTTAAGTTGTTTTTGTTAGAGTAGTTTGTCACAGCAGCACATAACTCCCATTTCATAAAGAAAGAGACCTCAGGGATCCAACTTGCTCCTCCCCTTCTTGAGGCCACATTAGGAAGGCAGCGCCTTACCAGATGCCAAATCTGCCAGCTTCATGGACTTCGTATTCCCAGCCTCCAGAACTATTGAGAAGGAAATTCCTTTTGCTTATAAGTTACCCAAGCTTTAGTATTCTGTCATAGAAGTCTGAGGAAACAGAAATGCTTCTATATCTGCCCATTATTATTGACCTGAAGGCATCCTTTAAAAACTAAATGTATGTGAGCTGTCTGTTACTGCTAAATAACTTACATTGGATATTTGCATACAATGATTAGAAAACACTCCCCACTTTATACTTGAGGTATGAAGATGTAAAGGATTATGATGTGTGTCACTAGCTCTCAAGTGAGTCAACAAAACACAATAAGAGGGAGAGGGAGAAAAAACAAGAACTGGGATAAATGCTGTTGAAGAGGGAATCTAGAGGAAAGGTATTCAGGTGTCTGTTTTATAATTCATGCAACTTTTCTGCGCATTTTGAAAGTTTTTACAGTTGAGAGTTAAACAAGGCAAAACAGCAATTCCTCATTAGAGTCAAACAAATGGTTTAGGACAGAGACAGTGTCAAAGATAGAGAATTAAAAAAAAAAAAAAACCACCAAAAAACCCAGCAATGCAGAGGGTGGCCGGAGGTCTAGCAGTGCATGCTTGGGGGTACATTTCTGCTCAGGGTTGTCTTGGAAAGTTGGAAGCACCTGTGGATAGAGGGACAGCATTAAAGAGTGTGTTCCCTCACAGGCCCAACAGCTCTCAACCAACGCATTCAACCCTCAGGGTGTGGTAAGGACTACTGCCCAGAGGCCCCCTGAGGCAGAAGACACACCCACTCCAGGAGAGGCGCTACCGCTACCGCAGAGCTCCACGGGAAGCCTCCCAAGTGACTGCTGTTTCTATACTTTTCTGAGATTTCTTGAACCTACCAGAGGGCAAAACACTCTGCAGGAAGGGTGGCGAGGCCTGCCAGTCCTCAAGCTCCTCAACTTCTTTTATCTCGTTCTTCAAATTGTTGGCCTTCTCCTTCGCCCAGAAAGGCAAGCTGCAGGAAAAACACAACCATGCTGAGTCTGACTGTAAGCCGTGTTAAAGCTACAAACACCATCCATGGGTAAGGCACTACATGCCCACACGGTTAACAAGGCGTCCACCTCAGGGGACTGAAGAGATAGCTCAGTGGGTAAAGTGAAAGACCTGAGTTCGATCCCCAGAACCTACATGACAAAGCAGGGTGTGGTGTGTGCGTGTTATCCCAACAGTGGAGAGGCCCATTCAAAAAAAAGATGACCAGCACCTAAGGATAACACTTAAGGTTGACCTCTTACCTCAAATGTAGATTTTAAAAAGGCAGACCTAAACACAAAGTGATTCGAAAGCAAAAGAATGACCTAAGATATATTAGCTAAATGCAAATGAAACAGTTGTCATCTTAATATTTATAGATATGGATAAGGAGAGTAATGCAGTTGTATAAAACCCATTCATCCAATAACAGAAAAAAGGCCACCTAAAAATTTTGCTCCATAATTGAGGAAATGGGCAATCCAAGTAGACAGAGCACACTGTTCTCAGCAAGTCTGAGAACACTGATACGTGCTCTCAGAGCCAGAGATACGTCATTAAGAACCCATAGAAGCACAGAAACAGCAGGGAAACTTGTGGAGAAGGAGCTACGCAGAAAATGAGCTTCCAAAATTACAGCAGTCCCCTTGAGTTTTGCTGAATGTTACGACGATAGGTATGTACAGAATGGGATGCCACAGAACAATGGTCTACTATGAGCTATGCTGAACAGTTTTACGTCAACCTGACACACGCTAACAGGAAACCTCAACTAAGAAAATGCCTCTATGAGATCTAGGTGTGGGCACACCTATAAGACACTTCCTTAATTGGTGACTGATGTGAGAGAGCTCAGCCCATTCTGTGTGGTGCCATCCCTAGACTGGTGGTCCTGGGTTCAGCAAGAAAGCAGGCTGAGCAAGCCAGCAAGTAGCATACCTCTATGGCCTCTGCATCAGTTCCTGACTCCAGGTTCCTGCCCTGTTTGAGTGTCTGTCCTGACTTCTTTGATAATGAACAGTGATATGGAAGTGTAAGCCAAATTAACCCTAATTAAGACATGGGCTAAATTGTTCCCAGCCCTCACAGAAAACTGAAAAATTATTCTAGATCCCACCAACTAAGCTAAAGATTCTTTATTGATTACTCAAAGCATTTGATAAAGACTCCAAAGGGAATGGTTAGTTACTCGAAACTATCCTTATAGAAGTTAAGGATAGTTTAACAACAGTCAAAACATCCTCAAAAGCATCACACCTTTAAAATCTAAAGATCAAGCCAGGCAGTGGTGGTGCACACCTTTAGTCCAAGCACTTGGAAGGCAAAGATGGGTGAATCTCTGGGTATGCGACCAGCCTAGTCTGCAGAGCTTCCAGGATAGCCAGGGCTACACAGAGAAACCCTGTCTCAAGATAGATAGATAGATAGATAGATAGATAGATAGATAGATAGATAGATAGATAGATTGATAGATAATACAATATAACATAACATAATAGAAAAACCATATACTGCTTGGTATTTTACAATTTATACAAACAAATATATATGCATATGTTTACAAACAGCAACTTAGAAAAACTAAAATAGCTGGGTAGGATAGTAAGATTAGGCAATTGCTGGTATTTTGAATATTCTAGAATAGTGTTTACTAAAAAAGAATGTACAGACATGAGAAGGTTAATTATGTGTTGTAAAGAATAATGAAGCATAATGAAGGCATTAGAGATGCCACGTTTAGAATAAAAGGCTTTTATTCCCTCCCAGCTCTGGAGTTTGCTACTCCCACTGAATCCTGGTGTGTAAGACTCGGGAACACATGCCTACCACACCATACTTACATGAGACTCTTTGTATTCAAAAATAGAGAGAAAGAGGGAGGAGAGAGGGAAATAAATACATGTGGCAGAGCAAAAGTGTGAAATCAGGGGGCTGGAGAGATGGTTTAGTAGTAGTTAGGAGCACTGGCTGCTCTCCAGAAGACCCTGGTTTGATTCCCAGCCAGCACCCATACAAATGGCTTGAAACCATTTGTAACTTCAGTTCCAAGGAATTCAAAACCCTCTTCAGGCCTCTCTGGGCACCAGGCACACACATAGTACACAGACACACATGCAGGCAAAACACCTCCAGGCATAATTTTTAAATTAAAAAATATGTTATTCTATAAGCATGAAACTAAGGCCACTGAGATGCTCAGTAGATAGTGGCTCCTGCTACCGGTTATAACAGCATGAGTTCACGCCTTGACAGCCACAGAGTGCAAGGAGAGAACCAACTCCCTAACGCATGACACGTGCAAGCCTCCATTTGCACATACCATTTTTCCTTAATTTTAGTATATGAATGGAGGGATAGCCCTTTCCTCAAACAGAGGTGTGTTTTACTGGCTTTCCCTTTGGCTTTGAAGCTCTTACCAGGTTCCCCACTTGCAATCATTAAATGTGTGGTTTTCTTTTCCAGAACACTCTAATGTCCTGGAAACAGGGTATTTGTCTTTTGGCTTCATATAGACTTCCCTCCCGAGCACATCATGGCATCTGGCATGTTGGCCAGTGTCATATGTAGAATTTGTCCCCCTCCCGTTGCCACAAACCCTTGACCTCAGTGTCTTCCCAACTGCACACCTTATACACTGCCCTGACCCTGCTGCCGGGACCCTGCTGCTTTGACTGTCTGCAGGCTCCTCTGTAGGAGAAAAGTGTGTCATTTTCACAGAGGTAACATCACTTGGTGAGGACACTCACTTGGGAATTGGTGGAAGAGGCTCAAGTGGGATAAACGTATCTAATTTTTTCTCATAAGGCACCCTGAAAAACAAAACAGTAAAAACAGCATAAAATTGCTACCACCTCTTAAAAGCATGGAGAGCAACACATGTCCAAAACATGTCCTACCTTCTGGTATCAATTCTTGAAAGTGAGCTTCAAAACTGTACAGGGAATAATGTTTAAACTTTTTATTATGTTTCATCAAGATCATTGACCCACCACCACATGACCAGTTTTCTAAATGTTTTCTTTTTTTATTTCCTTTTTATTTATTTATTTTTTCTAAATGTATTCAATATAATACAAAGCTGTTATTTTTTTATTTTTTTATTTTTTTAGTTGAATGACTCTCTCTTGTTGCAGGATATTTGATCCCAATGTGAGCCACAAATTTGTGAATTGTAAAACCCTGATTCTTTGGTGTGGTTGAGCCCTAACACACACCTTTAATCCAAGAACTTTCTGTTTATTGTAAACAGGTGGTTATGGTGTGGTTCACCCAGCCCTAGCACACACCTTAATCCAAGAGCTCTCTGTATACCAGATCTAATAAAGTTAACCCTAGATCAAGAGGCAGAGCTAGAAACCAGCTGACAGAGATTAAAGAGTAGGCGGGACTTTGAGTTGAGGTGTATTTAAGGCAGAATGGAGAAGAAAGGGCTTTTAGATTAAGCTCTGGCTTTAGCTCAGGCTTCAGCTCCTCTGATCCCTGGCTTTTTGGGTTTTGAACTAGCAGGCCTTCAGCCTTGAGTTTTTTTGGCTTTTTGCTCCTGGGCTGTCAGCTGAACTAGTAAGCCTTTTGGGGGTTTTTTTCTGTCCAGACCTCAGCTAAGAAGGAAGGTCAGCTGGTTACTTTCTCTGCGTCAGGTTTTCACCCCAGCATCCGGCTCCTGAGTCTCTATTGGTAAAATAGAACAGTTGGGATCTTCCATCATTTAAACAACACTCTCTTCTCTTTGATCATATTATCCTAAGTTCACCTCCACCTTTAAAGTCAACCCATATACTAGTCACTAACAATCAGACTTGGAATGGAAGCTCTGAAGTCTACAAGTGTGTGATAATAGACATCAGACAAAATGAACAACTGCTATTTCTGATTCCATCACCTTTTAAAAATACTATGCCTGCCCCTAGAGGTGTTGCAGGTATGGCTGCCGTGTCACATGTGTGTCCTAGGTGGCAGAGAGGAGAGGGCCTTCGTCTATGCTCCGTGTTCTGACCTGTGGACATCTGAATGATTAGTAACCTAACACTCCCTGAAAACAATCGAGATAAGCAACCCTTGCATGAGACCACTAGGCAGGCCTGAGCGAGGATTGAAACCAAGATGAGCACCATACCGGCGCCATGGGGCCCAGGCAGGGAGCTAGCCTGACTTGACCACCAACCTAGTGCAGCCCAGGCTTGGGGGCAAAAGGTGAGGACCATGCCCGAGATGACCCCTGCCCTGTGCCATAAGGCATGGGCAGGAGATAGCACTCCTGAGATGGCCCCAGACAATCAGAGACCCCAGGCTCCACCAAGAGGAGCAAGTGGTGGAGAAGTGGAAGGGAAAGAGATGCAGAAGGATGTGGGCACCATGAAGAGAAGCAGAACTGGAGACTCAAGGATAGGGAGGAACAGCCTAATATGAGTAGCCGGTGATGCCACCTGCGACCTTGGTGGGATCCATCTGGGTCCATGGCCGTGCAGAAGCAGGGGTCTGTTACCACCAAAGACCAGACAGGCATCCCTTGTCTGGGCTACCACCAAGGGACATGTTGATATCTAGGGCTGTGCAGAACTGGCCCCACCCCTCCCCTGGACATTTCAGGAGAGCTGACCCCACCACTAGCCCGCTGCAGTACTCAGGAAAGGTGGGCTTTGAACACTGTGATAGTTGCTGGTGAGCCAGCTCCGAGGGTACGAGCATGGGAAAGCCCCCCTCGTCCCTCACCACCTATGGCAGCTGGGAGAGCTGGCCCTGTCCCTCACAGGCTGCAACACTCGGGAGGACGGGCCCTGCACCTCTCCTGGGCAGCAGGGTAGAGCTGACCCTGGTTGCAGGGGTTATGGATGAGCCAGCCCCTAGGGTGTGAGAGCAGGAGAGCTGGCAGGCTGGCCAGCTCAGATACCTCAGGCCAAGATCCAGGGCTTTGGATTGGCCCACCCCAACATCTACCCCATCGATGAACTGCTGGAGTGCGTGAGGACACTGGTCCTACAGATCCAAAACTACAGGATCTCCATGACGGGGCAACAAGATATCCGGGAGGAGTCCCAATGGGTTCCAGTGCTAAGGAACCAGAAGCCAGATACCTCGTACCAGACCAATGACTCATTGCAGTGAACATTTGCAAGCAAAAAGTGTGGACAAATGTGTGTATTGTGTGACACTGTGACACACTACAGCTTCCACAATGAGATTTTTCTTTTCTCTGTTGAGGGTGAGGTTGCAAGGGTGGAGGGCAGGTATGAGTGGAGAGTGAGATGAATGGGATTGGGGTGCATGATGCGAAATTCACAAAGAAGCAATAAAACATTAAAATTTGTATGTGGAAAAATAATAGGACAGTATAATGGATTTTATGTTTCCATACATGTGTGTCAATGGAAATGGCTTATATTCTTCTCTCTATTACCTTCTCTTACCCCCTCCCCACTGTTCCTGTTCCTTCCCACAATAGTCCCCTCCCAGAGACTCACACAATATATAGTATTATTATTATATATACAGTATTATATATAATAAGTACAATATTATATATAAGAATATATGTTTGCTTTTTTTAAAGTATGGTGTCTTTTTGGTGTACGAGGGGTTGAAGGTAAAGCTTTGCACATCTAGGCAAATGAGCTATATCTCCAGCCCTTCTTGTGTCTTTTACCATTTCAATTACACAAGTGTGTATAGGCACAAATTAATTAAATACAAACTTTTAAAGGAATTTTCACTCCATTGTATCTTCCTGCTGTCCACCCCTTTAAAAATAATTTCCATACGGGGACTATGGAAATGGTTCAGTTAGGTGTGAGACCTGCTGTGAAGGCAATAGGATCCGAGTTCCAAATCCCCAGCACCCACATAAAAACCAGGCGCGTTGGGGTGTGCTTGTGACCCCAGCATTAGGGGCAGAGACAGGCAGATCCCAGGAGGTCACTGGCCAGCTGGCCTGGCCAAAATGCCAAGCTTTCCGTTCAGTCAGAGAGATCCAGTCTAAAAGCACAATGTGGCAAACAACAGAGAAAAACAGTGTCTTCCTGTAGCCTACACACACACACACACACACACACACACACACACAGGAGTGTACACATACAGGGGCACACAGACACACACACCAGAGTACAGAAGCAGAGTAAATAATGGGCTAATGCAAGAAGGTTACTTCATAGGCGGCAGAGAGCTTTACAGCTAACAGAATTCCTGTGGAACTAGCAGGCACTCACAGTGAGAAGTTGACAGGCGGCAGAGTTGCTCCTCCTTTGAAGAACTCTTTACTTTGTTCTGGGAACATGTAGGGATTATCACCTGGTGTTAATTTGGGGATTCCATTTCTGGGGTCGATATCTGCGGGAGACATTTGAAAACGCTCCACATCAGGCTGAAGCCGACGGCCTGTTTGCTGGGAGCGGCGATGTGTCGGGGAAAATCAATTCTTGTTATCCTGCCTTGGGAAATCCAAGCTCACGGAACTTCTTCCCCTCCGCTGTGTTATCGGCTACGGTTATTTAACAACATGGAGGGCTGCAGAAGAGGGGGTTTGGGAAGTCGTCCCCTGGATGTGGCATGGCTCTTGCACACGTACGCTCATAGCGGCTGTGTGGGATCTGCACAAGATCAAGCCTTTTAAAATGTTCAGTATGGAGTAGAGGCAGCTTCTGAGGCCCTAGAACTGAGTATAGCTTCAAGGGGGAGGGAAGGTCACTTTTATTTAGGAGTGTGGCCACATCCTCGGTCGACCTCACACCCATAAGTACATGGACAGACCCAGTTGAGAATTAAAACATAACTAAATAATTTTTTTCAGAAGGAAGAATAAGGTTGGGAAGGATATGGGGTTGGGGTTCTCTCTCTCTCTCTCTTTTTGACATGCAAGATATGTAGCTTTATTTTGATTTTTTATTGTTTTATTTGACTTTGTTCTGTGTATGTGAGTGTTTTGCCTGCATGTCATCTGCGTGTGTGCAATGCTCTTGGAAGTCATAAGAGTGTCAGATCCTCTGGGACTAGAGTTTGCAGAGGCTCTGAGCCTCCGTGTAGGGGCTAAGGACCAGACCTGGGTCCTCTGGAAGAGCAACCAATGATCTTAACCACTGAGCCATCTCTCCAGCATCTTAATTTTTTTAAAAAATGCTTTTATTATTCTTTAATAATCTCAGATAATATATTGTAATCATATTCTTTCCCTTCCCCCAACTCCTTCCAGATTCTACCCACCCTCCAAATGCACCAAACTTCATGTTCTTTTTCTCTGTAAACACACACACACTCACACACACACACACATACACAAAACAAAAACACGGAATCTAATTTATGTTCGCCAACTACTCCTGAGCATGGGTGGACATACCGACTGTCACTCCTTTGGGGGGGGAAAAACTGATTTTGCCTCTCCCAGCAACTATCAGTTTCAAACAGCTTCTTGACTGAGGGTGAGACTTGTGCCCACTTCCCTTCCACCTAGCTTGAGATTATGCAGGCCATGTGCATGCTGTCTAGTCTCTGTAAGTTCATACATACTTCTGCCCTGTTATATCAAGAAAATGCTGCCATTGTTCATTTTTCGTGCACCACTTCTGGCTCTTGCAATTTTTTTGCCCCCTTTCCAGCATATATCCCTGAGCCTTGGAGGAAGGAGAGTGATATAGACATCTCATTCAGGCCTAAGCGCTCCAAAGTCTCTCACTTTGTCAACATTGTCCAGTTGTGAGTTAGTTCTTGACTACTGAAAGAAGGAGCTTTTCCGGTGAGGATTGAGCCCGGAGCTGATCTAAAGTTCAGGTTGGAACTCTGTTTTGGAACAGGGTTTCGTGTATTCCAGGCTGCCCTCGAACTTACTGTGTAGCCGAGGAGGACCTGATCCTCCCGAAGACATCTCCCATCAGCTGGGATTACAGGCATGGGCTATCACGTCTAGTTTGTGCAGTGCAGGGGATGGAGTTGAGGCTTCGTACATGACAGGCACTTCGTACAAGCACTCTACCAACTGAGAGCCTTTTTATTCCATGATTTATATTTTTTAAACTAAAAACAGAGAAGTGATCATCATAAGATATTGAATTTGCTACTTAAGAGGCTGGATATGGTGGCACACGCCTTTAATCCCAGCACTCTGGAGGCAGAGGCAGAGGCAGGTGGATCTCTTGAGTTCATAGGCCAGCCTGGTCTACAAAGTGAGTTTCAGGACAGCCAGGGCTACACAGATAAACTCTGTCTTGGAAAACCTAAAAATTAAAAAAATTTAAGTTTTAATTAAAAAAAAAAAAAAGAAATTTGCTACTTAAACTCATTAAGTTCTGTTTATTATAGTGGTCTGTGTATATAACATTCCTGGCTTCACCTCTAACACAAGGAGTAAAATATTTGAGTGAATTACTGAAGGTGTTTATCAGCTGACGGAGTTCTCTGATTGAGTTTTTGGAGTCACTCATGTATACTATCATATCATCTGCAAATAGTGATACTTTGACTTCTTTTCTGATTTGCATCTCTTTGATCTCCTTTACTTGTCAAAAAAAAAATATTTGAGTGAAAAAAAAAGTAAGTTGTGTACATTCTGGATCTTAAATGGCTTGCATTTCTCTTTTTACATGTATGTCTGTATGTAGGATATATGTACATTCATGTTTGTGTGTGTCTCGCTGAACTCATTTGACTAAATAGGCTGGCTAGTGAGCTCCAAGGTCACCCCTGTCTCAGCTTCCCCAGTTCTGGGGTTCGGGAGGACAGCCACTACGCCTGACTTTTGGTGGAGGCGCTGGGGATCTGAACTTAGGTCCTCATGCTTGTTCAGCAGCCATGTCCCAACCTGCATGTCCTCTTCATTTTTTCTTAATTTTATGAATATAAATGTTTTGCCTACGTGTATGCCTGTGCACCGTATGTGTGCCTGGTGGCCATGGAAGTCAGAAGAGGACATCAGATTCCCTGCAACTGGAATTACAGATGGTTGTGAGCCACCGTGTGGTGCTAAAAAATAGAAACATGTCTTCTGCAAAAGGAAGCCAGGGCGCTTAACCACTGAGCCATCTCTGCAGCCCTGAATTTCGCCTCGATGAACAGGAAGTTTAGGATCAGGCAAGGCACAGGTCCCACATCAATGGCCACACCTACAGCTTCCCCAGGATGGCTCTCTGAGTGTTCTTTATTTGGACAAATCAAAGCCTCAACTTGAAAATCCATTTGTCCTTGACACGAGTTTTACAAGAAATGTTGCTACTTATTTCTCTTTGCACAGCTTCTACTTATTCATCACTGAGGCGTTGGCTGCCTCCTCCTACATGGGAATTTCTATTAGGACAGACCATAACTGGTCCTCTGGCACTCAGCAGTCTCTTAGGATCGGAAGCCTATTCTGAGTGAGTTGGGGCAGAGAACTCACCAAGTTACAAACTAAGGTGATACATGGATTTAGATATAGTGTATGTATAATATTTTTTATCTTACCTTTGATTAAATGAAAAATAACACTATATACTTGATGCTAAAGCTTACTTTAAATGTACACGACAGGTGGCAGCCAACTGAAACATAACATTATTTCCTTCGGACTTCAATAAGGCTTCTATTAATAACGCCCTGAAAGGACTCCTCTGGTGACTTAAATGTCACATTAGCATTTTGTGAGAGCTAGAGAGAGATGAACGTGTGCATCAGGATGAATTCAGAGCCCTGTGTCAAAACCTGTCACCTGTCAACTGGGCCTTCTGCCTTCCTGTCTTCCTGGCTGCGCTGTAGGCAACAGGGTGGCCCTGCGAAGCTGTCCCCAGCCAGAGAGAGCCGAGGCCACAGAATCGCAGCTCGAGGCTTGTTTTCTTTTTTCCCGCCTTTGATGGAGTGAGACATTACCATATTTCTTCCTCCCGAGGGTCTTGTCCACTGTCCTCTCTGCCACAGACACCTTGTTGCCCCGGAAGACCCCGCTGAAGAAACACTGCTTTCCAACATGGTAGGTGTGGATGTTGCTGCTGAACCTCGGATAAAAGGTCCACTCAGGGCGCTGCCCGTCTTCTGCAAGACATCAGAAACCCTTCCGCTAGCCCTGCTCCGGGCCCTCAAGGCAATTAGGCAACAAGTTGTAAAAGCTCCCCAGGCTCTATTGGCCTACAGCCTTCTCACATATACAGTTTTTTAAAAATATGTGAGTGTTTGCCTGCAAGCACATACATACACCACAGGAATGCAGTGCCCACAGAAGCCAGAAGAGGGTCTTGGATCTTCCTGGAACTGGAGTTCCAAGTGCTTATGAAACACTGTGTGGATGCCAGGAATCAAATACAGATCCTCTGGAAAAGCAGCCAGTGCTGTTGACCACTGAGCCATCTCTCCAGCCCTCACACTCTTTTGGCTTTTACACAGTCTTGACTATAGCCCAAGCTGAACTCTTCTGTAGGAGGTGTGTGTGTGTGTGTGTGTGTGTGTGTGTGTGTGTGTGTGTGTGTG